GTCACGGAACTTTCGGTCCAAGCTGTTCAATTGACTGTTGTAAGCACAGCTTCCTGATAGGGCGTTTCCAAGTCAAAGCCTCTAAAGATGCTCTAAACTTGCTCCAATAAACAAGGTTTGCTGACTGGACGTTCCAGCATCGACTTCTTTGTTATGACCTTGACACGCCGAACGAAACCGCTGCTATTAGGGTAAACCTCACTGACTCGACCAATCGGCCATAAATTCCTAGGCGACTGCACATCCACAAAAATAACGGTGTCTCCTACTGAGAGATTCCTCCTTGGGCGTAACCACTTTTGGCGCTCCTGCAACAACGGAAGGTACTCTCTTTTCCATCTATACCAGAAGACGTTAGCCAAATACTGAACTTGCAGCCACCTCCGCCTTGAATACAACTGATTTCTTTCGAAGACACCCGGTGGAAGAGAAGCTTCCTGACGTAATAACAATAGATGATTCGGTGTTAAGGGCTCCAAATCTTTCGGGTCATCAGAGACTGCAGTTAAAGGTCTGCCATTGATGATGCTCTCGGCTTCACACATTAGAGTTTGAAGGCTCTCATCGTCGAACGTTTGCTCTTTGACTAGGCTTCCAAGGATCTTTCGAGTGGATCTTATCATTCTCTCCCAAGCGCCGCCATGATGCGAGGCCGCCGGTGGATTGAAATACCACTGGATGCCTTTCTGTAAGAGCTTTTCGTGGATCTTGGCTTGGTTCCAGCCTTCAATCATGACTCGTAGCTCCTTTTCAGGCCCTGTGAAATTTGTTCCATTGTCCGAACGTATCTCTTTCACTTGACCTCTTCGGGCAATGAAACGTCTAAGTGTCAGGATGAAGGAATCTGTGTCCAACGTATATGAAATCTCCAGAAGAACAGCTCTTACAGCCAAACAAGTAAAGATAGCTCAATAGCGTTTGACCATACTTCTGTTTTGACGAACAAGAAAGGGACCAAAATAGTCTATTCCCACACAAGTGAAGGGGGGTTGATCTGGGGTCACTCGAGGGCGTGGCAAATCGGCCATCTTTTGCTCTCCAACAGCGCCCTGACGCCGTCTGCAACCAAAGCAGGATGCAAGTACACTTCGCACGGTAAGATTGGCACGGATGAGCCAAAATCTTTCTCTCAAGAGGGACAGAACATATTCTCTGCCAGAGTGACCACTCTTCTGGTGAAAGTGCTGGATCAGAAGCCGGACGAGAGGAGAATCTTTGGCAATAATTATCTGGTGCTTCGAGTCATCATACAGAGGTGCTCTGCTTAGACGTCCACCGGCACGAAGAAGACCGTTCACCAAAATCGGGTCCAATTTTGCAAGGACGCTTGACTTCTTCACACAGTTCCCTTTCTCGATGGCTCTTCTCTCTTCTGCGAAGGCACGACTCTGATCAAACATGATTACTTCTCTCTCTGCATCATTTATCTCTGAACAGGTCAAAGGTTCCAAACTGGCTATCTGGGAGCTTCTGTCAAAGGTGTCTTCCGTAGACTTTCGTTTCCTGGTAATAAATCTCTTTTGGCACCGAAGACAAAGCGCGATGAACTTTAATAACTTGAGCCAGGATGAGAACCGCTGGACCATAGAAATGACATTGGACTGAATCTCACTCGGACGCGCACCGACAACAAAGGAGTTTGACTCTCGTTTCACCTCCGGGTCATCACCAGACAGCTCTGTACTGTGTTTTGGTAGGTTAACCCATTCGGAAGGAGGCTTTAAAAGGAAATCCGGCCCCTTTATCCAACGGTCATTTCGGATGAATGCATCTGCAGAAGTTCCTCGTGAGGCATCGTCGGCTGGATTGGACTTGGATTCTATGTATCTCCATTGTGAAGGACTCGAGTCTCCTCTAATGATAACAACCCGGTTAGCGACGTAAGCGTGGAAGCGTTTTGACTCATTCGCAATGTAGCGCAGGACAGTCATGCTGTCAGTCCAGAAGGTGATTTTATCTATTGGAATTTCCAGCTCATTCTTCAGCAACTTGTTTAAACGAACTGACGCAGTTGCGGCTGCTAATTCCAATCTTGGAATACTCATCTGCTTCAAAGGGGCAGGGGGGATTTTCCTACCAGAAAGGAGCAATGAGCCTGACCATCTGAATTGACTTCCCTAATATACGAGACAGCTCCATAAGCGCACTGGGAAGCATCGCATTCAAGATTAAGCTCCTTCACGTCCTTGGCTCTGTCTTCCGGTGGAATGGACTCTAAGACTTGTCGATCAGTGCTTGCCCATTTGGTCAAATTGAATCCGCCAATCAGCATAAGTTTACGGAGATCAGCCACATGCTTGACTGCTGCAGGACTCGACGATAAGGACTTCAGGCAATCGTCAACATAGAAATTCCTTAGGATCGTATTAGCCACGTCGGGTGAGAATTCGTGCTTGTGGTCTTCCGCATTCCGTCGCATGGCAAAATTGGC